TTTTTGTACCAAAATTCAAACTTGAAGGCATGAAATATGAAATAATGTAGAAATGAATTCATTTATGAGAAATAACTCACAGAAAGTGATTCAGGATCTGTTGCACTGGTGCCCGCAACAAAAGGATCAATCAAATAGTCCACAACCTTCAAATAGTTTTGTTAGGATAAGGCATATAACACTCCAATCCACACAACAAATATTAGGCTAGATTACTCTTTTGGTCCCTCTTCCTTTTAATTTGTTCAACTTGATCACTAGTGTTTAAATGCTTAATGTGATCCTCCAATCCAATGTGGCTCTTTTTGTTTGATTTTCTTGCCAACAACATTAGCCTAGTCATATACGACAGTAATGGGTGGAAAAGACAGGCAGAATGGACTATATTACATATATTTGGGCAACTAGAGGACCTCAATGAACATTTGGATAATAGAGGGATGAAGTTGAACAAATTAAATAAAATAGAGGGACTGTGAGTGTAGTGCTGATGCACGAGAAAATATAGTTGACCAGCTAAAATAGGATATTGTAATTAATTACAAGTGTGCTGCTAGAAGGTGTTAGAAGACTTTAGAGATCTTTTTGTAATTGCTCCATTAAAGTTAGAGTTCTCTATATATAGAAGCTGATGTAATGTTTCAAAAATTAATTTAATAAAATCTTCTCATTCAATTTATTTTTTTCAAGTTGGTATTTTAGCAATAACTTTAAATTTCATTCAATTTAAGGCTAAAGCTCTCTATATATAAAGGTTGATTTTCTGTTTCAAAAATTAATTCAATAAAATCTTATCTCACTCATTTTAATCTTTTTCAAGTTGTAGTTTTACCAAAATATCATGATTGAAGATGTATGAAATTTACATTGCAAGTATATATCATGTTAGTCACAAGAAGAAAAACAGCTAATCAATGATGGCTATTGCAGTGTGGCTTATACCTCTTTACCAAAATGACGTTCAAAGAACCCTCCAACACTGCAAGAAAGAAAACAGAACAAAAGCTACAGATATTACTTCTTATATTATAAAAAATAACAGAGTATAGTTTTGTTGAACTTGGATGCCATTAATTGAGGTTTATTGAACCTTTCCTCAGAATTTTCATCACACACATTAGAGGAGACACTTCTTTTCCACAAGAATGGTTCAAAAATGACCTGGATCTGCAAATTTAGAAAGTTAAGTAGACAAGTTATCCTGTTGAAGCTGGATGAATGAGTAGGTTTGGTTGGCTACATTTCAAAGGGGTAATGAAAACCACTAACAGTACCAGAAAAAAAGGAAAAAGATAAGGAACAAACAGCATGAAAACATCTCTAAATTTCCCTTATGATTAATTTAATCCAAATTCCAAAATACTTTTTTCTAGTTTCAGAGTTTGGCTATCAACTTTGTTGATTACATCTAATGGCAGATTCCCATGTTTGATATTCTTAGTAGAAGATCTTGTTAGAATGTAATGAGCTGTTACAGATTTGTAGGTGTTGAATATAGAGAAAAACTAGGTATAGGTTTAATTTTCCTTGTGTCTAAAATACATATAAAGTAATATATTTAAAGGGGTAATGAATACCACTAACAGTACCAGAAAAAAAGGAAAAAGATAAGGAACAAACAGCATGAAAAACAATCTCTAATTTTCCCTTATGATTAAATTAATCCAAATTCCAAAACACTATTTTCTAGTTTCAGAGTTTGGCCATCAACTTTGTTGAGTACATCTAATGGCAGATTCCCATGTTTGATATTCTTAGTAGAAGATCTTGTTAGAATGTAATGAGCTGTTACAGATTTGTAGGTGTTGAATATAGAGAAAAACTAGGTATAGGATTAATTTGCCTTGTGTCTAAAATACATATAAAGTAATATATTTAAAGGGGTAATGAATACCACTAACAGTACCAGAAAAAAAGGAAAAAGATAAGGAACAAACAGCATGAAAAACAATCTCTAATTTTCCCTTATGATTAAATTAATCCAAATTCCAAAACACTTTTTTCTAGTTTCAGAGTTTGGCCATCAACTTTGTTGAGTACATCTAATGGCAGATTCCCATGTTTGATATTCTTAGTAGAAGATCTTGTTAGAATGTAATGAGCTGTTACAGATTTGTAGGTGTTGAATATAGAGAAAAACTAGGTATAGGATTAATTTTCCTTGTGTCTAAAATACATATAAAGTAATATATTTAAAGGGGTAATGAATACCACTAACAGTACCAGAAAAAAAGGAAAAAGATAAGGAACAAACAGCATGAAAACATCTCTAAATTTCCCTTATGATTAATTTAATCCAAATTCCAAAATACTTTTTTCTAGTTTCAGAGTTTGGCTATCAACTTTGTTGAGTACATCTAATGGCAGATTCCCATGTTTGATATTCTTAGTAGAAGATCTTGTTAGAATGTAATGAGCTGTTACAGATTTGTAGGTGTTGAATATAGAGAAAAACTAGGTATAGGGTTAATTTCCCTTGTGTCTAAAATACATATAAAGTAATATATTTATAATGAAGAATGATACAACTATATATTGCAACCAAACATAAATATAGTAAATAGAAGATATTGTTACAAACAAAATCAACAATTTCTACCAATATCAAATAATATAAAATGTCTATGTTTCCCTAATTAACATAAAATGTAATATATCTAACACTCTCCCACAAACTGGTGCATATGAATCGTATGTTCCAAGCTTGTTACAAAAATAATTAATTCTCGATCCCCTTACAGACTTAGTAAAAATATATGCTAATTAATCATTTGAGTTCATGAACTCAGTCTTGATATCTCTAGATACAATCTTCTTTTGAACTAAATGACAGTCAATCTTAATGTGGTTAGTCCTCTCATGAAATTGATTGAAGAGTCAGTCGATTGTCACATATAAGTGTCATTTTGGTTAACATCTCCAAATTGTAACTCTTTAAGCAATTGCATAAGCCAAACAAGTTCACAAGTGATTGAGGTCATAGCTCTATATTTTGCTTTTGCACTAGATCTTGCTATAACACTTTGTTTTTTGTTCTTTCAAGAAATCAAGTTACCACCAATGGAAACACAATACCTAGAAGTAGATCTTCTATCAGAAGGAAATCATACCTAATCAACATATGAATTGCAAACAACTTTTGTATGGTTATTGAAACCATATAACAAACCTTTTCCAAGATATCCTTTAATGTACTTTAATATATGGATGACTATATTCCAATGATCTTCACTTGGAGAATTGAGAAATTGGCTCAACATACTAATTGTAAAGGAAAAGTTAGGATGAGTAACTGGAAGGTAATTTAATTTCCCAACCAATCTTCTATAATGCTCATGATCTAAATTAGGTTATCCCTGATATGGTAGGAGCTTTGTATTAGGATCCACAGATGTGTCAACAAATTTTGAATCAACCCAGTTTCCTCCAAAATATCCAATGCATACTTCCTTTGAGATATAACAATATCATTGTTGGATTATGCTACCTCAATAGCCAAGAAGTATCTGAGTTTGCCTAAATCTTTGGTCTGAAAATGATGGCAAATGTGTTGACTCATCTGGGAGATGCCATGGTGGTCACTGCCTATAAGAACAAAGTCATCAACATATACTATCAAATAGGCATATGCAACACTTGAGTGACGATAAAAGACTGAATGATCTGTCTCACTTCAAATCACACCAAATTGTTGAACAATGCCACAATTTGCCAAACCAGACCCTATGTATTAGGCCCAATAAAGATTTGCGAAGACGACATACCAATCTAGAAGACTGCCCCTGAGCAACAAATTCGGGATGTTGCTCCATATAAATTTCTTCCTACATATTTCCATTATGGAAAGCATTTTTGACATCCAGATAATAAAGAGGCCATTGTTGAAGAGTAGCCATGGCGAGAAATAAACGAACAAAAGCCATCTTTGCCACAGGAGAAAAGTATCACCAGAATCCAATCCTAAAATTTGGGTGTAGCCTTTGGGTACAAGTGGAACTTTGAGGCAATCAATAGTACCATCAAAACCAATTTTGATAGCAAAATTCCACCTGCAACCAACAACAGATTTTCCATACGGTTATTGGACAAGCTCCCAAGTTCCACTATTATGAATAGCACATAGTTCATCTACCATGGTCTAACGCCAACCAGGATGGGCTAAGGCATTATTGACAAAGTTAGGGATGGACACACAAAAAATAGACGAAAGGCAAGTATAAAAAGAAGATAATCTATGATAATTCAAAGCAATATAATGTGGCAAGGGATTAGAAGTAGAATGTATACCTTTACGAAGAACAATTGAGAGGTCAGACTCGGTTGTAGGAGTTGTAGGAAACAAAATAGTTGACACTTGAAGTACGTCACTTCGTAGTTGTTGGGAACAAGGTTGTCAAACTCGAGAGTTTACGTAAACTCGTGAGAGTCCAGTAAACTCGACTCGTAAACTCGACTCGTAAACTCGACTCGTAAACTCGACTCGTAAACTCGTAAGAGTTTACTTTGTATGAAAAAAATATAAATAACATTCTAATTCAAATAAGATAACAAAATTATATAAATTGAAATACATAAGTTCATAGAAATATTGTTCATAAAATGTCCAAAAGTTTAAAAATATTGTGGCAGCACGGTTTTTTAACAATGCAGTATGCAACACTTTATTTTTGAAAAAAATAAAAGGAATGATGTTGTAAATTGGTGCAGTGCCCGTAACATACTATTATGTTGCAGCTGGAAAACAAAACAATATTTAAAATACGTGTTGTTGTTGCATACCAATGAACCCCACATAAAATTATTAAAAAAATATTTGCTGTAGTACAGTGCCCGTAACATCAACTTTACTTAAAATCAATAAAATATTATAAGTTGCAGTGCCCGTGAACTCAACTTTACTTAAAATCAATAAAATATTACAAGTTGCAGTGCCCGTGACGTGAACCCAAAGTATTGCAGTGCCATAAAAATGTTTAAAAAATATGTTGTTGGCCCGTGACATCAACTTAACTTAAAATCAATAAAAAAAATCATGTTGCAGTGCCTGTGAGTGCCAGAAAGTGTTTAAAATATATGTGAGGGAGGCAAGGTCGAACGTGATAGAGGGTTTGCACTTACATAACGATGAGAACGAAGGTGCGACAGAGGCAAGGTCGAACGTTGAGATCGACGGCGCGACGGAGGCTGAGTTCGAAAGTCGAGATCGACGACGCGGCGGACTGCGAACCTGATGGACGAGAAAGCGACGAAAGGCGAGATCGAACGAGATAGAATGCGAGAGTGCGAGAAAGAAGATGAACAGTGAGTGAATCTTTTATAAATCCTTATCTGATGCGTCCTAAAAACGTAGCCGTTTTGCGTTTTCAAATTTTTTTTCCAAACTCGCAAAATCGGAACCAAAATCGCGATTTTAGGCGAGTTTAGCGAGTCAACAACCTAGTCTACCGATCCTACTCTAAAAACGAGTTTGCTTATGAGTTAACTCGAAAGCATTGTCTGAACTCGTAAACTCGGTCGAGTTAACGAGTTAACTCGCGTTTTCGATAACCATGGTTGGGAACAATGTCTTCGATTATAAACCTAAGGGGGTGGAGTAAGAGAATCTAACGGTGGACTATGCACAATAGGAGGATAACATATAACAAGAATAATAATTGTAGTAGACGGAGACACATTAAAAGAAGATGGACCCTTAAAGTAAAAATAAATAAATAAATAAAACACTTGTTGAAGGTGACATCTGCAGAAACAAAAGAGTGGTTAAGAGAAGGAGAAAAACACTTGTATTCTTTTTGAAATCGAATATATCTTAAAAACACACATTTATGTGATCTAGGAAATAACTTATCAAGACTAGGACCCAAATTATGAACAAAACATATAGACCATAAAACTTTAAGTGGCAAAGGATGGAGAGGTTCATGAGGAAATAAAATAGAATAAGGAATTTTGTTATCTAAAACCGAAGATGGCATACAATTATATTGAGGAACCTCACCATTAAATAAAAGGGTGTGAGTTGTTTCAATAAGATGTCTATTCTTGCACTCAATCACCCCATTTTGTTGAGGTGTATAAGCACATGAAGTTTGATGAAGAATGCCATGAGAAGCCATAAATTGTTTAAAAGAATTTGAAAGATATTTACGGTCATTATCACTTTGCAAAATTTGAATAGAAACACTAAATTGAGTTTTAATTTCATTATAAAAGGTTTGAAAGATATAAAATAAATCAGAACGATTTCATTAAAAATAAATAAATACATCTAGAATATTCATCAATAAAAGTAACAAAATATTGAATACCTAAATTAGACTTAACAAAACTAGGACTCCAAATGTCAGAGTGAACTAAGGCAAAAGGAATCGAAGCACGTTGTGAGACACTACAAGGAAAGGAGCTACGACTATGTTTCCCTAATTAACACGACTCACACACCAAACTAGATAACTTGGACAAGCCGACAATAAGCTCTTGCAATTTGGCCAGACTAGGATGACCTAACTATGCATGAAGGAGAGATGGAGACTCCATAATTGTGCAAACATGTCTTAACAGTCTCAACAACACGAGCTAAAACCTTAGACCCATTAGTCATTCTAACAGAAGATAAATTATCCAAAGTGGATAAAGAGAAAAACAAAGATTTGTTATTAGTAATGTGATTTGTGGCTCCTAAGTCGAGAACCCAAGGACCGATAGACAAAGATTAAGTCAAACCACCAAAAGATGTACCTATGCATGCAACAAAAGTAGTGGATCTAGAGGGTTGACGATCCTCACACCATTTAAAAAATTCATAGAAGAAAGCATATTTATCGCGATATCAGATGGAGGAAGATCCACAAATGATTGTGAGGGGGAATCAATCTGAGTAACAAACAGAGAAAGGAGGACGACCATGTAATGTATAACACTTGTCAATCTTATGACCTAACTTGCCACAATGGTCAAATTTTTTATGCCCTTTTCCTGGCTTGCGAGAGCAGTTATGATCATCAATTAAAATGCCAAAATAGAGGAATCATCAGCAAAAACAAGTGTATCATTGATAGCTTTACTTGGCACAGACAAAAGGGTAGAACAAATAAAAGTAAAATTGGGTATAACAGGGAAACCCAAAATCTGATCACGAACATGAGAATATTTATGGATGGTATTCTTGAGAACTGTTAGGATATTTATCCTATTTTATCATCATTATATTGTGTCAAGAGTTACCCTATTTATCATGATTATATTGTGTCAAGGGTTACCCTATTTATCATGATTATATTGTGTCTAGGGTTATCTTATTTATCATGATTATATTGTGTCTAGGGTTACCCTATTTATCATGTACTTTTGTATCAATTTATTCTTATAAATAGAAGATTATGAGAGGGATCAATCAAGCCCTCAAGAATTATTTCGTTTCAATCTCAAGTTGGTATCGGAGCAGGTTGTCTGAGTCTCTTCCTACTCTGTATTTGTTGCCGCCGTTGGTGGCGCTGGCCCTTAAAAATTTCATCTTTTATGAAATACCTCAATGAACAGTCTCGTTCTGATTTCTGTCAAGTCTCCAAACCTTGTTGTCCGCAACTGTCAAGCACTGTTTGTCGTTGTCCAGCGTTGTTTGTCGTTGTCCAACGTCGTTTGCCGCTGTCCAGGCGCCGTTTGCAGTTGTTCGACGTCGTTTGTCGTTGTCTGGTGCCATTTGTCGTTGTCCATCTAGCATTGTTTTGCCACAGGGAGGAGCTGTCCAAAGAAGTTTGTCACCATCAACTTCTGTTCCCGACGTCGTTCGTCACTGTCCACCGCTGTCCGTTGTTTCCCACCGTCCGCAGTTGTCCGCTGCCGACCACCGTCCGTTGTTGTCCGCTGCCGACTATCGTCTGCCGTTGTCCGTTGCCGACCACACTCTATTGTTGTTCGTTGCCATCTGTTGCTACAGTTTAGTTTGACGACTAGTGATCTGGATCGCCTCCTTGAGCAAGTGGGCTAGTTCTAATCCAAGCGCCGCCACGCGTGCCACATTTGTCCGACATTCGCCTTCGCCGTCGTCACATTTTCTCTGGCGAAGTTAGGGGTTTTGTGCACCTCGAGGAGCGTGACCCATCCCTAGTCGTTGTCTCATTCTCATCTTGTCACACACAACTTCTCTCTGATAAGCTTTCGGCGCTTGTTTGTCACAATTTCTGGTGTCGAAATCACACTACGTCACTGTCGTTCGTCTCGCTCGACCAAATAAAAAAAAAACTCTATTTCAGCATTATACATATGTTTCAGCATTGTTCCTTAGCCTCCTGTCATAATATTTGTTTAGCTTTGCGTATTGTAGCAGTTGTGATGTTCCTGATGGCTTGTGTCATTTATTTACAAGTCTCCAAAGAGAGTCAGTGCTATTAGTTGGTTAACACCAAGGAATTTCAACACCAAAGTCATAGGTTGAAGGTTCCTCATAGCATGAGGGGAGTCTATTTCTGACAAGATTCAGAATCTTAGTCAAACAATTTCATCAGTCCCTTGTCAGATCTGTTTTTGGATGCTTTGATGAATAAAGGAGACCATTATGATCTTCCACCTTCATGATTTGTCATTGGCGGCGTCATCATTTTCGTCGTTTGTCATGGGAGAGTATGTTTCCAACCATTGCAATATGTTTCCAGCCACTGCATGCCCCATCAGTCAGTGATGGCAATCCCTGCAGTTTTGTCCTTTCAGCCACTGCAGGTCCCCCATCACCTCGTCAGTCAGTGATGGCAATCCTTGTAGTTTGTCGCTTTCAATCACTGCAGGCCCCATCAGTCAATGATGACAATTTAGTCCCTGTAGTATGTTTCAACCACTGCAAACCCCATCAATCAGTGATGGTAGTTTAGTCCCTGTAGTGCAGGGACTGCCATCACCTCGTCAGTCAGTGATGGCAGTCCTTGTAGTTTGTCGCTTTCAACCATTGTAGGCCCCCATCAGTCAATGATGACAATTTAGTCCCTGTAGTATGTTTCAACCACTGCAAACCCCATCAATCAGTGATGGTAGTTTAGTCCCTGCAGTTTGGTCGCTTTCAACCACTACAGGCCCCGTCAGTCACTGATGGCAATTTAATCCCTATAGTTTGTCGCTTTTAGCCACTACAAGCCCCATCAGTCACTGATGGCAATTTAATCTTCTAGTTTGTCACTCTTAGCCACTACAGGCCCCATCCTTACATGGCAGTTGTAGTTTGGTCGCTTTCAACCACTACAGGCCCCATCAATCATTGATGGCAATTTAATCCCTGTAGTTTGTCGCTTTTAGCCACTGCAAGCCCCATCCTTTCTCGATGGAATCCAGTCTTTGCAGTTTATCGCTTTTAGTCATGCAAACCCCATCCTTACTTGATGGCAATCCAGTTTCTGCAGTTTGTCGTTGTCTACCACTCGTCATTCACTTTTGACGGAAATCAATTTTGTCAAAGTCATCCTACTTGAAGGTTCATGGTGCTAGATGAAGTTTCGTGGTTGTCCAATATTATTCTCCATAAGCTTATGAGGAGTCTCTTTGGCTATGCTGGATTGTGAGTCCAATTTGGTTTATAAACATTCTCTTTGGATGGACTGAAGTATACGTGCATCTTGTTCTAAGTCGAAGTTTCTAAGTTGCTAAAGAGACCTCAGATTGAGTTTATTTGTTCCAAGCTTGGTAAATACAATTTGTATGCTCCAACTTGAGGGTGAGTGTTAGCATATTTATCCTATTTTATCATCATTATATTGTGTCAAGAGTTACCCTATTTATCATGATTATATTGTGTCAAGGGTTACCCTATTTATCATGATTATATTGTGTCTAGGGTTATCTTATTTATCATGATTATATTGTGTCTAGAGTTACCCTATTTGACATGATCATAGCTCATAATCCAGGATAACATGTTAGGACACTTAAGAATTAAACTGTAAAATAATTCTAGAGGGCTTAATTGATCCCTCTCACAATCTTCTATTTATAAGAAGGGTTAAATATGTTTTTAGTCCCTAAACTATTGGTCGTTTTTGGTTTTCGTCCCTGTTTCAAAGTAAGGTACAATTTGGTTTACACCAGAAAGAGGGACGAAAACCAGAAACGACCAATAGTTGAGGAGGAGTGTTGTAATTAGAGGAAATTATTAGAAAGTGGTTTTTAAGCCTAACTCACCCCACAAAACCGGTTTGTAAGGTGAGGTTTACACCCGACTTATATATTATAATTTGGGCTTATCACTAGTCGATGTAAGACTTCCAACACATCCCCTCCACGGCGAGGTATAGACATCTCGAGCGTGAGAATAGAATTAA